TGAAATTATTTGTTCTAGTTCTGTGAAAAATACCGTTGGTAGCTTGATAGGGATTGCATTGAATCTATAGATTGCTTTGGGTAGTATAGCCATTTTGACAATATTGATTCTTCCAATCCATGAACACGGTATATTTCTCCATCTGTTTGTGTCCTCTTTGATTTCTTTCATCAGTGTTTTATAGTTTTCTATGTATAGGTCTTTTGTTTCTTTAGGTAGATATACTCCTAAGTATTTTATTCTTTTTGTTGCAATGGTGAATGGTATTGTTTCCTTAATTTCTCTTTCTGTTTTCTCATTGTTAGTGTATAGGAATGCAAGAGATTTCTGTGTGTTAATTTTATATCCTGCAACTTTACTGTATTCGTTGATTAGCTCTAGTAATTTTCTGGTAGAGTCTTTAGGAGCCAAGATGGCGGGGGATTGCTTCTGTTTTTAAACCTCTTTCACTGAAGTATAACACAAATTATAAGTGTACAGCTCATTGTATTATCCTAAGTGAATATACCAGTGTAATCACTACCCAGGCTACAAAATTTGAGTAAACCAGAAGCTCCAGTATGTCTCCTAGAAATCATTACCTCTTTCCAGAGTTAATGACTGTTACAATAGCATAGTTTTCCCAATTTTGAACTATATGTAAATAGATTCACTATGTATATAATTTATTTCATACAACATTGTGCTATATGTACTAAATTATTCCAGTCACATCTGACTCTTTGCAGCCCCATGGACTGTAACCTGCCAGGCTCCTCTGTGCATGGGATTCTCCAGGCAAGAACAATGGATTGGTTTGCCATGCCCTTCTCTAGGGATCTTCCCGACCTAGGGATTGAACCTGCATCTCTTACGTCTCCTGGATTAGCAGGCAGGTTCTCTACCACTAGCGCCACCTGAGAAGCCCTTGGAAATTCCCTGGCAGTCCAGTGGTTGGGACTTGGCTTTCACTGCAAGGGCCAGCATTCAATCCCTGGTTGAGGAACTAAGATCCCACAAACCACATAGTGTAGCCAAAGAAAACAAAAACCATTATGTATGTAGGTGTTGCATATAGTTGTAATTCATAGTTTTATGGCTGCATGGTATTCCATTATATAAATATACCACAATTTATTAATGAGTTTTTAGGCTGTTTCCAGTTTGGGGCTATTAAGAACTATGCTATTATGAACTTTTCTTGTATATATCTCTCTTAATGTGTATGCATTTCTGTTGGGTATATATCTAGGGCTAGAATTTCTGGGTCATAATATATACATATATGCAACTATACTAATTAATGCCAAACAGTTTTCCAAATGGTTCTGCATTGTATTTTCTGCTATCACTCTATGACAGTTTCCATGATTCTGCATTCTCACCAATACTTCATATTGTTACTTTTCACCATTCTGATGGTATTGCTGTTAGGTTATAGTACATTTCTATGATGATTGAGTTGAGCACTGTTTCATCTGCTTATTGGCCATTTGGATAGTTTGTTTTGTTAAGTACCTGTTCTAGTCCTTTTTTCCATTCATCTGTTGGTGCTGGGTGCTGGGGAGGGAGTTCTTGTTGATTTGTCAGAATTCTGTGTGCAGAATTCAAACCCATTTTTATGTATTACAGATATCTTCCACTGAGATTTTCCTTTTCACTTTTATTAACAGTGTCTTGAACCCAGTTTATTAATTGTTCCCTTTAGTGACTTCTTTAAGAAATCTTTACTTAGCTTGGATTATTTCATCTTCTAGAAGCTTTGTTGTGTTTCCTTTAACATTTAGGTCTGTAATTTATCTGGAATTGATTTTTGTTTATGGTGGGGAGTATCAGTCAGATTTCTTATTTCTCTCTGGGGAAATGTGTGCACATTACAGCTTGAGAAGCACTGTTGATTTTTCTTTCTTGTTTGTTTGTTTGCTTATTCCATAAGTTACTGAGAAAGATGGGAAAGGTGGGTCAAGATTTATCACCATAATTATAAATTATTTTTTCCTTTAGTTTTCTGAATTTTAATACTTTGAGACCATGTTCTTAGGTGTAAATGTGAGATTGTTATGTCTTCTTGGTAAATCAAACCTCTTAGCATAGGGAGTAATTTTTCTCTACATTTATTTATTTATTTAATTTTGGTCTTACAAGATCTACTTTGACAGTAGCATTTTTTCATTAGTATTTTCAAGGGCTGTCTTTAAAAAAAAAAGCCTAGGCTGATAATCTACGTCCTTTGTGTGAAGAATTTTGTCTATTTACATTTAATGTCACAATTTATATATTTAGGTTTAAATCTGCCATCTCACTTGTTGCTTTCTGCATGTCCCATCTGTTCTGTGTTCTTTCTCTCCTTTCTTTCTTTGGATCCAGTATCAGTATTCCATTTTTTTGTCCTCTGTTAGCTTGTTTTTTTACGTTCCTTTACTAATCATTAATTGGTTTCCCTAAAGATTAAAACTTGAATCTTTGTCTTACTAAAATTGAATATAAGTTAATACTTTGCTTCCTGGACAGTCAGTACCTTAGAAACTTACATTTACCCACTCAACTTAACATGCTCTTACTGTTGTGCACTTTTATTCTCTCTAAATTTTTAAATCCTACAAGATTGTTTATAATCAGTGCTCAGTTGGATTTGCCCAATTAATTACTCTTTTACTGTTCTTCATGTCTTCTGCATCTCTGTTCTTTGATCCGGGATCATTCACCATGGGCCTGAAGAATATCCTTTTTTTTATTAGTGCCAGTTTGCTAATGGTGAATCTTCCCAGTTTTATTTATCAGGAAGTTATTTTACTTTCACTTTTGAAAGATATTTCCCTGGACATTAAATTCTAAATTAGCAGTTATTTTCTTGCAGCCCACTAAAAATACATATTCATTGTCTTTTGGCCTCTATTTATTTCTCTTATTTGAAAATACTTTCTTCCTTTAGCTACTTCTAAGATTTTTTTTTTTTTTTTGGTCCCGTTGGTTGCCATCAGTTTTTGATTGCTTTGCCTAGGTGTGATTATATTTGTATTTATTATTTTGGCTGTTATATATTTAAATCTGTGATGACTTCTTTCATTAGTTTTGGAATATTCTCAGGTATTACCTCTTCAGGTATTGTTTCTGTCCCATTTTCCTTTTCCTCTCTACCTGGTACTTCAATTGCAGATATGTTAGTCTTTTTCACTGTATCTTCTGTCTTTTATATTCTCCTGTGCTTTGCATTACCCCTGGTGGGGAGAGGTGTGTGACTATGTTTCATTCTGGATGTTTTCCAAATGAATATTCTCTCTTCAGTCCTTTCTACTATGTTATTAAATCTATCCATTGAGTTATTTTAAATACGATATTTTTCAGTTACTGGGGGTTTCATTTCTTTCTTTTATATAGTTTCCCATTCTCTGCTAAAATTTTCCATCTTGTCGTTTTTTTAATATATTCAGCATAGTTATTCTAAATAAGGCTGATAGTTTCATTACATGGATTTCCTTAGGGATTGATTTTATGAACTCGTGCATCAGATTATGATCATATTGTCCTACTTTATGTGGCAAACATCGTATAATAAAAAATTACAGAGATAACTTGAAACCCAGGCTGATGTTATCTTCTTCTAGAACAGATTTGTGTTTGCTTCTGGCAGATTTGCAGCCATCCCAAATCACTTTAATCCAGTCAGTGATTAAGGTGATTTGAAGCTGGGCTTCAGTCCCTGTAGCAGCGAGTCTGTTTCCTGTTCATTCTTATTGGTCTCAAGCTTGGGGAAGGTTGACAGTACCTCTTCCTTTTTGGCATGCCCCAAACTCTGATGCTTAGGTTCTCAGTATCTAAATTGCCTCTTCTAGAATTAGTCAGTGCCTTCTCTGGAATTACCTTCTCCAAAATCTCAGACATAATTCTTTACTGTCTTATTAGCTCTCTGATTCTCTCAAACAAATGTGGGTTTTTTCCCAGCTTTTCCAGTTCTCAGCAAGAAGAGTGGTTTGAATTGTCTTGTCTGCCATTTCTAGAAGTGGAGTTTCCCAAATTATATTTATAGTATTTGATAATTTTAGTCCTTTAATCTCCTACATTTATGTGACATTTAGCATTTTATAAAGTCTTTTTCTATACATTTTCAGCATTTAATAAAGAAGGTGTTAGTATCCCTATTACACAGATGAGAAAAGGCTCTCAAAAGAGGGCAGATGATTCAAGCAAGTTCACACCAGCCTGCTGACTATGTGGATAGTCAAATTTAAATCTTCTCCTTCTGAAGTCTGATTTTTATTCTACCATATCATAGGTATAAGCTTTTGTGTTTTAATGTGTTACTATCAAAGAAAGAATATAAATTTATTATTTTATTTTGCTTTGTTTAAAAATGTGATTCAGCATGATCCCACCTTTCCACTGATAGATTCAAGTTCTCAGAACCAGATCAGAAAACGCATCGTACTTGAAAAATTGAATAAAGTGTAAGTATGTAATTATCATTCCACTTTTATAATATCTAAAAATCAATTTGATATTTGTGGGTTTATAACTTACAGGTGTAATCCTTGATTTTTTTATTTTGAAAAATAATACGTAAAGTTTACACGGATTTCTTCACCTGAGAAACTTGTATTTTTAAGGTGTTCTACCAAAGTGTGTTGAAATTGTTTTGTGCTGAAGACAGAGACATAATAAAGACGAAAGTTGAGATTATGGGAAACGAAAACCAAACTACCTCACTTCCATTCAATAATCCAGTGAAGTCAGGGAAAAAATATCAGAGCTGGACCTATTTAAATACTGATTTGTGGTAAATGTGTCATCAGTTTCACATGTGAATAAGATTTTATAAAGGTTTAACGGTTTATTGACTTACTCGGTGTATATGCATATTCAGAGAACCATTTCACACTCAGAAGCTTGAGTTTTGCACTTTAGTTTTGAGCTTCCCGTAGTGGAAATTGTTGTTCTTGTAATTAGCCCAGTCATAAATGACATTTGAAAATTGCAGTCTTGGTTTCTCTTTCAAAAGGAGCTTGAAAATCTTTTTTCCAGAGATGTGACGGATGTCTTGAACTTTTCAACTTGCGTTATTTTTCTTCAGCAGAAAAGACAGAACAGTTTTTTCACGCATTGCTGAAGGTGTTGTGCACATGGAGAAGTCTTAATTTTGTAGTAGTTCAAAAATTAAAAAGCCTTTTCTAGAAGCCATAGTATTTTGAATAGCTTACTTTTCTAAAGTTTACATTTTAAATAAGTGTTTAAATGTAATATTTATTGCATGCTTGTCATGTGTTAAGACTCTTCATATATAATAAATCTGTTTTGCCTTTTTTCTGTTCTTCATACTTGTTTCCGTTAAAATTTAATTTATATAACAATATAAGTTACCAACTGTCTGACTTAGGATAAGAAGGTATCAATCCTTCATTTTCATTACATAGGTTTTGAAAGTTGGGATAGATTAACTATGCTAGCATGTAATTAATAGGTAGGGATTTATGTGAAAATAGTTTTCTAGACTTTTTAGCTGATTCAAGTACCCACTTTTAAATTTAAGACCGCACAGCCGTGTCACTGAAGGAATTCTTTTCCTTGTGGGTTTTAGCTGCAACAGGACATCCCAAAAGAAACCTTGCTAGAATACCAAGTTATTAATATTAGGGTGACAGCTAAATCTGAGAAGAGGTAGAATAACTTGGAGAAGCACAAAGAATACTGAAAACAAAATAATAGTGACATAGGGATTTTTTTTGTTTCCTTGTTTATGAAAGCAGTTAATTATTTTTCTTATTATGAAAGTTAACACTTTATTATAAAAGTAAGACCTTTTCTGGTTTCTGATTGGAACAAACCAATTATACAAAAAATTTATTTTAGAGAATCAAAGAAAGTGAACTATGCACGGGGTATTAGATGATATTAATGAACCATTATTGGTTAAATGTGATGATTTTATTATGGTTTTATACAAAATGCACTTGTATACATAAAGAGTAATTTAGGGGTCAAACAAATGACATGGTTTACTTGAAGATGCCGCAAAAAAAAAAAAAGAAAAATGAAGCAAATGGAACAAAATATTGGGAGGCTAAATGTGGGAATAGAAATGAGGGGTTATTATTGTTTCTCTATTTTGGAACATGTTTTAAACTTATGTAACTTTTTTTAAAGTAATACATGCTTATTCCAGAAGGGTTAGGCTGTGCAAAATGATATAATTAAAGAAGTGAAAATCACTGTAATCACAGTAATTACTATTAATATTTTTACGTTCATCCCTGACATATATGTGATATATGTGATGTGTGTGTATTCATTCCCTTTGGTTTCATCTTTATTATAGTCTAAACCTAGAGAAAATGACATGCTTGATACATACTATGTGTGATATACAATTGCATTATAATATGTATGTTTTTATAAAAAATGGGACAACTTCATGTGCATTTTCTTGCCTGGAGAATCCCATGGATGGAGGGGCCTGGTGGGCTGTAGTCTATGGGGATGCAAAGAATTGGACATGACTAAGCAACTAACACACACACATGTGCATTTTCCACTTAACGTTTATCATGAATATCTTTCCACATTAAAATATATAGATTTATAGTATTTTAAAGGTTTTATTATTTTGTGGTTACATCATAATTTATGTAACCATCTACTGACAGACATTTGTTGCCAGTTTTTCACTACTAAAATACTTCTCCAATAACTGTCTTTTTTTATGTTTGATTATTTCTTTAGGATAAATTTTGTATGGTATTGATCAAAACTGTTGGGTCAAACAGTGTCTGCATTAAAATGTTAGTATATATTGTCAAATTGCTCTCTAGAAATGTACCAGTTTTTACCTTACCTTAAGGATTTAATAACAAATATTAAATCCATATTCCCGTAATGCTCCATTTGGGGGGCAGTTCCTCTCGCCTATGTTCTTTCCATTTATTTAATGTTTGAAAGTGAAAAGGTAAGAAAGAGACAAGAATATAGATAGCAGCCAAAAAAATTTTTTTCATTTCAGTGCTTCTTTCTGTAGCATAAACTACAAAATAGAGTGTGGAGTTACTTTGAAATATTTCTTTATGACTTCTCACCAGTTAAACCTGGCTTAGCTGTCTCCACCTCAGTGACATGGTTACCTACCTATGAAATATCCAAACTTAGGCAAGAACCCCCCAAAAATATCTATATAGTTATATTCTTTAAATGTATTAAATGTATTTAATTATATTTTAATAGAAATTTATTTTTTTTAAAGAAATGTAATTTTTATTTTCAGATTGCCTGGACTTTTGGGACCTCTTCAGATTACATTAGGAGATATTTACACACAACTTAAAAATCTTGTCCAGACTTTCAGGTTAGTATTACTACTACGATTTTCCTTCTCAGTTATTTTGACTTTATGTAATTGCCTTGCAGAATCCATAGTAGACTAAGGCATGAAGAAAGTAAATGATTTACCTTCATTGTCTTAAATCTTAATATACTGTTTTCTCTTCCACTAAACAACATTAATTATATCTTTGGGGGTTTCTGTTCATTTTATTTTTAAATTTTTATTGGAATATAGTTGATTTACAGTGTTGTGTTAGTTTTAAGTGTACAACAAAGTGAATCAGTTATACATATATCCATTCGTTTTTAGTCTTTTCCCATATGAGCCATCATGGAGTACTGAGCAGAGCTCCCTGCGCTGTACACTAGGTCCTTACTGGTATCTTAATATTTATGTAATTCCCAGTCTCCCAGTTTGTCCCCCCCCCCACACACACACACACACTTATATCTTTTGTTAAATGCAGCCCCTTATTTGCTTAAACTTTGATATGTTTAGCTTTGGATAGTTTATTTATGGAATAATCTAAAATTAAGGAGAATGATATATGAGACACAAAGGTAGCTAGTCAGTAATATCTTGGATTTTACTGAACTAGTAAATCTATATTAAATGACCGGCACTTCTGTATTGTTCAGCACTATGGACAGTATAGAAGAAGCCTAATGCCCATCCTCGAGGAAGAACTCCTATGAGAAGACAAGGTGAGCACAGGGAACAGTGCAAAACAGTGGATAATTTAGTTTTGAATAGTGTAGAACAGACTTTGAGTGATAGACAGGAAAAGGAAAACTAGAGAATATCAGTTATGAAGTGGAACAGTTGGGATTTTTCTACAACTATCAAGGTAAAAATACTCCACCAGGCTAAGACAAGATTCTCTACTAGGAAACAATAGAGATAAGCCGCTACATACATTATGAGTAGAGGTGTATACCAGATGTACATTTTGACCCAATGCCAATGACCAAAAATGCAATTAGTTTTTATCTGTAGCCAGAGAGCACCAAGATAGGATGAACTTCTAGAGTAGAAGAATCATTTCATCCAAAAAATTAACCATTACTATAGTTTATTGCTAACAATAGTAGTATTGACATGTTCAGTTCAGTTCAGTCGCTCAGTTGTGTCCGACTCTTTGTGACCCCATGAACCACAGCATGCCAGGCCTCTCGATCCATCACCAACTCCCGGAGTTTACCCAAACCCATGTCCATTGAATTGGTGATGCCATCCAACCATCTCATCCTCTGTCGTCCCCTTCTCCTGCCCTCAATCTTTCCCAGCATCAGGGTCTTTTCAAATGAGTCAGCTCTTCGCATCAGGTGGCCAAACTGGTTGAAATGGAGTAAAAATGTTCTTATATGCTCATTTTATCAGTCAGTAGAAGAGTAGAATGCTGTAGTAATTATGTTGCTTGTGAAATCTTAATTTTATATATAAACAATTTGTAAAATCATTCAGTTATTTAGCAAAATAGATTGACAGTTAATACAAACATTCAGAAAAATGTTTTACAATAAATTATTTAGTAGGAACTAGGATTCAAAGTTTAGGTGTGTCCTAAAAGTTCATCTTCAACTATTGAAAAGGATCATTTGTAACACTTTATGATTAAATCTTCAGCCTTCATAGACTTAAGACAATTATAAGTTGTCTAACACATTCTCGTGGCATCTACAATGTTGATATTTGAAAATGAATATTCAGGGAAAAACAAACCTGAATGATTGTTTTAATTACTGAGATTGTTACACCCATGCAATCACAAGATCAGTGATCACACACAGGTTTATAAATGCCAGAAATGGTTGCTCTATTTGGGCTAGACCTTTGGAATACTAACTGCTCTGCTAAAAAGAGGATTTGGACCAAATACCTAGACCAAAGCCGAACTTCTCTGCATTCCTGTTTAATGAAAGTAAATGAAATTTCTCTGCATTCCTTTTTCGTTAAAAGAGAGAGTCTGTGTCATATACCTACCACAAAACCATACATCCAAAAGAAGAAAAAAAAAGTGTTTTCAACTGTCTATAGTGATGATAAAGTTTGAATGCACAGTGTGGTTGCACTGAAGTTTAGGATTTGTTCAGGATTTATTAAGGAAGTAAATATATTAAGATAGCTTAACTGAGGGAAGATGAAGACCAGGTGTTGCTCTGTTTCATTGATTTTTTTAAAAGACTTGGCATTCAGTTTCTTGCAGACAGTATTTAATTACCATTCTGAGCAAACTGGTTAAGACTCATTAGAAAAGATATAAGAATAATACCTTTGACCTTGAACTACAGATAGGAACTTTGTACTTCATTTTTAACCCTACTCACTTAGAATAAATGAACAAGTGATTCAATTTATTCTGACTATATTTTCTAGCACTATTTTTCTAATTGCATGTTTTCTTTAAAAAAAAAAAAAAACAAAACTATTCTGAGGGTCTCAGAACTTACTTGAAACCTGTTGAAAAGAAATGTTTGGCTACAACTCAAGATTGCCACATTATTACTTTCATATGCCCAAAGAATTTAGGTGTTTCAGGTTGGAAACTACTCACTGTCCAGGCTATTTGTTATTTCGGTGTTTTGAAGCAGCCCTGATAATAACATTTAGTTCATGTCAGTACATGGACTCACTGTGGTAACTACTATGTGCTGGACTGTGCTTGGCACTTCACACGTTATCTAATTTCCAAAAAATAGTAGTATTATCCTCATTTTACAGGTGAGAGATGACAGATTAAGTAATTTCAAATTACACAACTAGTAGTTGGGTTTAGATCCCAAATCTAAGTCAAGAAGAGAGGTGTTAAGTGGTCTTACCACCAAAAAAAGAAAATGGTAACTGTATGTAATGGAAATGTTAATTCGCTTGATTATGGTTGTCATTTCACAATGTATACATATATCAAAACATCAAGTTGTGTACCTTAAATATATATAGTTATTATGTGTCAATTATACCTCAGGAAAGCTGGAAAAAAAATTTAAAAATTTAAAATTTACTGTTGGTTGTCTTGGTAATTATCAGTATTAAAGATTTATCAGTATTAAAGGTTTTTTTTTTTTAAGTAATTTGATTTATTACCTCTCTAGATCCCAGGTAAGAACTCTACTTGAAATGGTTGTTACCTGTGAAACTAAACCTCTGTGACATCTAAGCTAGCCAAGACAAGAGGTACAGTGTTCCTTAGTCTAGTAAGAGGTAACCAACAGATTGTAGAAATGAGGAAACTCACATGTCATTTTCCTTTTATATTTATAAATTGTTATCACCTTTTTCTGTCATTCTTACTATGTAAATCTTTTCAGGGTACTTTCTGCATTGTTTACACTAAATTAAAGCCTAGGTGAAACAATATGATGTGTGGGATTTGCTTCATAATTATCAAGGTTAGGGGATGTTGAATATGAGGTTGTATAGATGAAATATGATTGACCAGGATTTGATAATTCTCAGTTGTGATGACTATATGGGATTTGATTTTATGTTCTATTTTTATATATGTTTGAAATAAATTTCAATTATAATTTTTAAAAAGTTTCAGGGAAATAAGCCAAAAAAACCCTTGTTTTGATGGCATGTGTTTAGTCGCTCAGTTGTGTCTGACTCTTTGCGACCCCATGGACTATAGCCCACCAGGCTCAATTCTGTCTGTGGGATTCTCCTGGCAAGAATACTGGAATGGGTTGCCATGCCCTCCTCAAGGGGAACTTCCCAATCCAGGGATCAAACCCTGGTCTCCTGCATTGCACATGGATTCTTTACCCTCTGAGCCACCAGGGAAGTCTGTTTTGGTGGGAGGGGATGTTACAAAACCTTGTTGTTGGTTTTTCCAAATATTTACTCCTTAGTACCTGCACGTCAGAATCTTTTTCTTAAATTGAGTTTGCTCTTTTCAGTAAAATGTCAGTTACTTATAATACAGTGAGACCTCTAGTAAGATAATGCATTTTGGGGTCTTCAGATTCTGGCAGGACAGTTTTAACAGGTATGTGACTGTAGGCCAAGGCTTCTAGGTGAAGTCTCTGAGGAAACACCGTATAAATGACAGGGACTAGTGTTGGGAGATCTTTTCAGTCAATACTGGTGGTGGGAAAGAGTTGACATAAATAACCGTATCTTTCTCTTTGAAATGGCAATCAATAATTGGAACTTGTAGAACAATGATCCTTAAGCCAGCTGTGCAGCAGAATTACTTGGGGAGCTTTTAACGACGACAGATGCCTGGCTTCACCCCCTAGAGATTGAGTTTCATTTGGTTAGGGTTGGGCCCAGACATAAGTATTTTTCAGAAGCCCCCCAGGTGCTTCTAATGTGCAGCCAGAGTTGAGAGCATGTTAGAACTAAACATAAAGCAGCTTTTTCACCTTTTTGAAGAATCTTTCCCCAGTGAGTAGAGCTGTCCTTTCCACTGAACTGCTTCATAGGCATTTATCTGGAATGTTACATTGATTTACCTCTCATAGTGGTTCCATCAGAAGTTACTTGGTAATGATCAGGTGTCATCAGTGTTGAAGCAAGATATTTTCTAAATATGATTTGAATTAAAATTGTATTTTGACACGAGTCCTTTTTAAATTTCATCAGTGATGACTGAAGGTATTTTTTCTAAATCTATATTGAATTTCCAATTATATTTTGAAACTATGGTTTTAAAATGTTTCCTTTCAAATATTACTGTTTTAATTTTTGAATTAGCACTCAAAATAGTGTTTGTTTAGCATTTGTGCTTGAAATTATTTTGGTTCTGCAAAAGGGAAAAATGTGATAGCAGGTAAAATTTTGCTGTTCTGCTCCATAAAGTGCTTTGAAGTAAAAGCAAAGACCTTGTTCCTCAGTGCCTGAAACAGTTTAGAGCAGGCATTCAGTAGATTTTTTTGTTGACCCAGTAAATAAATTCATGAAATCTAAAATTTGTCTTAGCTTTGAGAGATTTGAGTATTACTGAAAAGGAAATTCTATTAACTGCTTTTGCTGTTTTATTTTATCCTTCTTTGCTTATCCTTCTTTGGCCTTTTTTGGTTATGTGCTGAATTCTGTTTTAGTCGCTACAGGTAAAACACTTGAACAAAATAAAATTCCTTCTATCATGGAACTATTTTAATAGAGAGGATATGTAAAATTTTAAAGACAATATATGTGTTATTATTATGTGGTGATACACCCTTTTCCCAGTTCCATCACCTCCTTTTCTCCTCAGAAGCGGGGAAAGAGGGGATGTACTAAAGAGGGAGGAAGTTGTGATTTTATATGGGCTGGTCAGGGAAAACCTCATTAAGAAGATCCTATTTGTATAAAGACCTCAAGGTTGTTAAGGGAACAAGCCATGTTGCTATTGGTGAAAATATATCAGACAGGGAACAACAGGCAAAAAATGCCCTGAGGCAGAAGCAGGCCAGGTATATTCACAGAATATTAAGGATGCTGGTGAGGCTGGAGAAATGAGCGAGGCAACGATACAAAGAGATATGGTTAGAGAAGTAAAGGGCAGGGATTGGCTGTAGTATAGTTATATAATCCTTGGAACCATGGTCGTTCTTTGACTTTTACTCCAAGTGATATGGAGAGCAGTTTGTGGATTCTGAATAGAAAACTGACATGATCTGACATATTTTGGCAGTATCACTCTGGCTGCTGACTTGAGAATTATAGTAGATGGTCAGAGGCAGGAAGACTATCTAGGATGCTCTTTCTGTAATCTAGGCAAGACATGATGTTAAGGTGAAAACAGTGGAAGTAATAAGTGATCAGATTTAATTTTGAAAATAGAACCATCAGAATTTGATGACTGATTTTGACATGGGATATGAAGAGAGTCAAAGTTTGGGGCCTGAGCAACTGGATGGATTCTGAAGGACTGGGTAGCCATTTATTAGGTGGAGATACTTGCAAGAGAACCCAGTTTGGAGAGGAAATAAGGAGCTCAGTTTTGGCTATACTAAAATTTTGAGATGCCTGTTAGACATTCAAGTGGAAATGAAGGTAGATCATTAGTCCAAGTCTGGAATTCAAGGATGAGGTCTAGGCTAGAGATAATAAATTTGAGAGTTGTGAACAAGTAGTTATCTAATATTTAAAACTGAGAGATTGGATGACACCACCAAGGGAATGGGCATATATAGAGGTGAGGAGTGACCCCAGAGCAGAGACCCTGGGGTGATCCAAAATTAAAAGGTCTCTGAAGGCATGCCAGGGAGAGGAAGGGGAATTAGGCAAGCAGAAACCAGATGAAAGAGTGTCTCCTAAGGAGAAAGGAGTGATCAGCCGTGTCAAATGCTTCTTGTAGACTAAGGTGAGAACTGAGAAATGTCCATTGGATTTGGCAACATGGATGTCTTTTGTACATTTAATCCTCACAAGAACCCTATGAGGTAGATAGTACTATTGTCCCCAATTTACTAAATTAAAAAAAAAAAGTTTTACAGTCACTATGTCCAAGGTAAAACAGATCTGACTATGGAAACCATACCTGTCAGACGCTTCAACTACTATTCTTGCTTTTTTTCCCTTTTAACGTTTACTTTGCAGTGTGCGGATTTTTTTTTTTTTTTTCAGCTGCAGCCTGTGGAATCTTTAATTGCATCATGTGGGGTCTAGTCCACTGACCAGGGTCGAATCTAGCCGCTTCACTGGGAGTGTGGAGTCCCTGTACTTGCTTTTTATATCAAGTAGACTTTTGTAGACATTTTAATTATGGAAAAAAATTGAGTTAATATAACAAAGATATGCTTATTCACTCAAAATTAATAGATTTTAATATTTTATAGGGTTTGATTGGCATACATTTTTAATAAATATAGGTTAATTCATTCAGAAAATTAATTGAACCTCTTCTGTCAGGGATTTGTTCTGGGCATTTGGAGTAAATATATGAAGAACACAAATATTCCTGCCCTCAGTCAAGATAAAACAGATAACAAACAATAATTATATGTTAGAAGATGAGAAGTGGTACGAGGATAAAGTAAAATATATAACAGAAAGGGAAGCTAGGAGTGTGGGGCTGGGAGGTGGAGAGAGTTACACTTGCTAATGGTGTGGCCCAAGTAGACCCTGCTGCAAAAGTGATGTAAGAAAACTTTTCAGACAGATGGAATCACCAGTTCCAAAGACCTAAGACATGAAGTCCTCTTTGTCTCTTCCCCAGTCCATTCTCCTTTGCTCCCCAGAAGCAGTCAGTACTCTGAGTTTCATATGTATATTTCCAGTCTTCCTTTTTATACTTTTAGTACATACATTTATGTCCATAAATATGAGTATCTGTTCTTGACTTGTATAATGTCATTCCATACTTGCTGTGTTTCATTCAAATTATCATGAGCAAAATGTGTAAGTTTAGTTCCTTCATTTTAACAGCTATTTAATATTCTATAAAAATGCCACAATTTATTATGTTTCTGTTATAAGCAGTGTCACATCAAATATCTTTATGTATATTTCCTTATGCATAGCGAGAGTTTAAGGTTTATAAAGTTATTCATTTTCAGTTTTATTGGGTATTGCTAAATTGACTACTCACATCAACAGCATATTTAAAAGTAAAATTTCCTCTTGTCCTCAAAAACCCTTAATATTGTTAATCTTTTATTTTCACCAAAGTAATGGAGTGAATTACTGTTTTTATATTAATTTCTCAGCTTAATGATGTGATTGAGCTCCTTTTCAAATGTTTACTGGCCATTCAGCTTTCCTCGTCTGTAAATTGCCTGCTCAATTTAGTTTATTTATTGGCTGTTTTTTTCCCCCTCCAAAGACTTTATTTAAGATCAGTTTTAGCTTCATAGCAAAATTGAGAGAAGGGTGCATTTACTTACGTCCTCTGGCCCCATGTGTGTGGCCTTCCCCATTAAAACCATCTGCCACCAGAGTCATACATTTGCTACAGCTGATGTACCTATATTAATGACATCATTATCAGTCAGAGTCCATGGTTCATTCTTGGTGTTGTGCATTCTATGGGTTTGGACAAATATTGAATGACATCTATCCACTGTTATAGTATCATAAGGCATTTTCACTGACCTAAACATCCTCTGTGTTCTACCTATTCATTTATCCTCCCTTGCCCCACAGTTCCTGGCACCACTCCCTTTTTACTAATATCTCCATTATTTTACTTTTTCTAGAATGTCATATACTTGGAATCATACAGTTTGTAGCCTTTTCAGACTGGCTTTTTTCACTTAAATAATATGCATTTGAAATATCTCCATGTCTTCATGGCTTGATAGGTCATTTCTTTTTCGGGCTGAATAATATTCTAGGGTCTGGATGTACCACAGTTTATTTATTTATTACCTACTGAAAGATATCTTGGTTGCTTCCCAGTTTTCACAGGGTATAGATAGAGCTGCTATAGACATCTGTGTGCAGATTTTTGTGTTGACATTAAGTTTTCAACTCCTTTAGGTAAAGAGATACCAAGGAGTGTGATTGTTGGATTGTATGGTGGGAGTATGTTTAGTTTTCAAGAAATACCAGATTGTCATCCAAAGTTGCTGTGCTATTTTTTTTCCTCCAGCAATAAATGAGAGTTCTTACTTGACATCCTCGCCAGCATTTGATTTTGTTGATTATCGGGATTTTGGCAATTCTAAAAGCGTAGGGTATTTCATTGTTTTAATTTCCACCTCCCTGATGACATATGATGTAAAGCATCTTTTCATATGCTTATTTGCCATCTTTTTTTTTAATTTATTTTTAATTAGAGGTTAACTGCTTTACAGTGTTGTGTTGGTTTCTGCCGTATAACAACATGAATCAGCCTTAAGGAAACTATTCCCCTCCCTCTTGAGCTTTCCTCCCACCCCCAGACCCCTGTGTATCTTCTTTATATATATATATATATATATATATATAATTTTACTTAGTTAGCTATCTTTGGCTGTGCTGGGTCTTATCACGGAGCACAGGCTCTAGTCACACGGGCTTCAGTAGTTGGCAGCACAGGGACTCAGTAGTTGTGGCTCTCGGGTTTGGAGCGCAGGCTTAGTAGCTGGGGCCCAGGGCTTAGTTGCCCTGTGGCACATGGAATCTTCGAGGACCAGGGATCAAGCCCGTGTCCCCTGCACTGGCAGGCCGATTCTCCTTTCACTGCGCCACCAGGGAAGTCCCGCTACAGGTCTGTTAATGAAGTGTCTCTTGAGGTCTTGGACCCATTTTTTAATTGGGCATTTTGTTTTCTCATTGTTAAGTTTTAAGATTTCTTTGATATTTTGAATAACAATCCTTTATCAGATATTTTTGGCGGCTTTTTATCAGCTTATATCATTTTTTTTATTTAGAGTGATCCTTCTAAATGTTTTCTGAGAAATAAGATGACAACAATGTATTTTATTGTCATCAACTGCTAAGTGATAGATTTTACTTCTAAGTTTTTGAAACTTTTCTTGAATAAAGATACCTAGTCTTAAAATTTATCAAGTCAACTCTGACTTCTGAAAATTATGGATTATGACATTCCTTAACTGCCTGCTGCCAACCTAGCAAAAGCTGAATTAAAATCAGAAATTGTTTACCTTGTCAGTTTTAATAAAACATTTGATTAGGGAAAAACAAAAGATACGGTTACAGGGAGGCATGGTATGTGTTCATGTGTTTTAGTAAACCATTCAGTTTACTTCCTCATATTGTTCCTATATCCCCATCTTGTTTAACAGTGGTATTGTTATAAATATATAAATGTGAGGCTAGAATACTTCCTTCTGAATATCAAGCCATAGTACTATACTGTTGATTCTTTTCCATCAAATATAACAAGGATTAAAAAAGTGTCCTTTAACACATGATATCATAAAACTGAGTTTATCTGAAAATAGAAAGTTTGTGTATTTAACTATAACAATCTTTTGGTAAATTTTACCTGTCTTTCAGATTAACAAATAGAAATATTATACATAAACCTGCAGAGTGGACCTTAATTGCTTTGGTGTTGCTGTCAATGTAAGTACTCCTTTAGATTTTTAATTCTAAATACTAAATATGAAGAATTTGACTAGGGAAAAACAGAGTTAATTCATTAGTTTTCTAAACTTCTTTGGAGAATATACCTTTATTTTGCACCAATTTTCCTTATGATAGAATAATTTTCATGTAAAGTGATATGCTGTATTTTGATAAGCTGTTGTCATTCTCTTTATATGTTTTACTATCTTTTCTTCTCAGGGCATTTTTTTTCTCAAATATTATTTGTAATCACTTGAAAGAAAAAAACACCTCCATGTGGGATATAACACAGGCTAGTCTGTTAATTTCATTTTTAACAGTGCATTTATTTTATTAATGTTAAATGGCCTCATTATTTTACATCTATATTTTTACCAATATAGCTAATGCTATTTTATTTTTCATCAGCATTCTTATTAATATCAGAAAAATTTTGTTTTCAAAATTAATGTAAAATCAGATTTAAAGGAACTAAAGTAGATATTACACAAGCATATATAAAACATTTAATACTCGTTCACCTTTTAAGAAATCACTAGTGGTTTCTAAGGCTGTCTTTCAATAGAGTTAAAACCATCTAGTAAGTGTAGTGTTTTTCAGCTTGAATTGCAAAAGTCTTTCTTTTGAAGACCATTCATTACTGCATTACTGTTATTACTTGGTGCTTGTTAGGTCATTGAAGCCCATAGGACATTGAATACTTACTGGACATTCACAGGTCAAGAAGTGTTATGAGTCAACCTCATAGCATCTCCAGCCCTACTTTTGTTTCTTTGATATTACTTCAGTCTGACACATTATTCTGGCTTCACTGTCCCAAGGAAGGCTGTGCTGGGAGGCATTAGAGTAGGCTTCACTGAGCCAGCATCTGTGTCGCCCAACGAGATACAACTCATATGATTCATTAAATCAGAACACAGAAAATAACTTTACTTGAATGCCCTGACATAAATTTTTTATCAACCATAAGAACAAATCTTTTGTCATTTTTACTATTCAATGTTCCAGTTGAATTGGTAATTTATGAAACAGATCTTATTAATTTTTTAGAAAGTCCTTTCCATTTTATGAAATTTGTAAATATTTTGCTCACTGGCAAAAAAAAAAAATCAGTATCTCTGCTCACCCACCATATCCTATGCCTGCTAATAAACCCTCATAGATAACTGTTTAACTGTACTTCTGCAATTCATTACACTAAAGGGGAAGTAACTTTTTTGGTTGACAAGTCAGAGGCCCAAGGCTTAGAAGTAATCTCAGAATCTTGCTTTCTAAGCTGGTGACTGGAAGTATTATCTTAATGAGCAGCTGCTTACTGAGGATGCACGTTAGGTCCTACTTCTTTTTGTATCAAACTCTTGCCACATCTTCTCCAAAATGTATAACAAGGAACAAAAAATAGTATGGAAAATGAAATTTTAAAGCTACCATCGAAACTTCATATGATTATTTCATATAAAAGTAATTTTATTTTAATAGAAGCACCCATGTGGCCCAAAACACTGAAAGCTTTGCTAGTTCTTTTATGTATTAATACTATTTGTCTTCTCTCACTTTGGATTTAGTGTAGGGATTTCAAGGGTCAGTGACCCATGAAAACAGTAATTTAATTGAAGAAAAACTGTGCACATTTTAGGTGTATTGCATATTTCACATTATGTAATCTAGCTTAAGGTTGTAGCAGTAAACACTGTTTCCTTTTGTCATTCACTTTGAATTCTTTTTCATTATTCCCCAAGCCCTACAGTTAGTTAGATCTACCCATCTTTCTCTAGTCTTTGGTACTTTTGAGCCCTTGACAACTAAAAACCTTTCCAGTTAGGGCCCTTTTGACTTCTTTTAAAATCTTTAGTCACTTATAGACATGAAGTTAGCTGGTACGTCTTTGTTTTTGCCTTTCAAATCTTGTTTCCTGATAATTTTCTCATAACTTTTGCTATAGGCCCTCTTGAACATTCTTTATCTTCCCTAACTGAATCTCCTTTCTCCTTATTTTTTCGTCATTTGTTCTCTTAAGACTTCTGTCCCCATACTATTTTATTTCTTACTTCCTCATTTCTCAGCAAATTCCCTTTAGCTTTTCATATTTCTCCCCGCTAGGGAATCTATGGCTCAGTTGATAGCCCTTTTCCTTCTTAGCCTGTCATCATCATTTTACAGTAAATATTACCATATGAGATGGGAGTAAAATGAAAATACATATCCATCATATTAAAACTCATCCCACTGGTTTCTGTAAAGTGTAACTATACTTTATATTTGTACTCTTCTTTCCTCCCACTTCCAGTTCACACTTTTTTTATACTTATAATTTTATTTATTATTGGCTGTGCTGGGTATTTTTTGCAGCAGGCTTTTCTCTAGTTGTGACAAACAGGCTACTCTCTAGTAGCAGTGTGTAGACTTTTCATTGCGGTGGCTTCTCTTGTTGCCAAGTACAGGCTTAGTAGTTGGGACACTTGGGCTTAGTTGCTCTGTGGCATATGGGATCTTCTGGATCAGGAATTGAACCCACGTCTCCTGCATTGGCAGGCGGATTGCTTACCACTGAGTCACCAGGGAAGCCCCACAGTTACTTTTTTGGGAAGACATTATTGTCATTGGGGAAAGAAAAAGCAGGTGTGAAGGCTAGCATTAGATAAACAACCTTAAATCCAGGTAAAATATGGAGACTTCACACATTCTAAGAGGCATGTACATATAAAAAGAAAGAAGGTAAACACGTATTTGTAAAATAGTAACTCATCATTCAGTCTTTTAATTTATTGCCACTAAGATTGAGCATAGGCATACATGGGATTTACCCTTTTTTCATTTAATTATCCTATGATTCAGAAAATCTTTGCATCTACTCTTAAACTGCCAATGGAATTTTTAAAGTCATTGTAGACATTTCTGAAATTCATATTAAGAAGTGAACTTCCTTTAAGTCTTAATAGCTAGGAAGGAGGTCCTGAATGGTAGTTGTAGACACTGAAGATGAATATAGTAAGATAATATGTTTAGTATTATTATAACAGTGGTACTATTCTTTGTGAATATTGCAAATTTTTACTATTTTTAGTGTTAGTTTAATGCATGAAAGCTGTTTTCAAAATTCCTTATGAGAAGCACTTAGAAAAGGATACCTATACACATGTAATTAGGAAAGTAAATGGCTCAAATCTAACTCATGTTAGAAGGGAAAAAACATTTTAAGCAAAACATGATAGTCCAGACAAGAAAGCTGGTTCCTGAATTTTCACATCTGTTTTCTTAAGAATAAATAAGGCGTGTCTGTAGCAAACCATCTTTTCCTGGTAACTTCCCTTGAACTTTCAGACATTAACACTTTAAAAATTTGAATCACAGTGTGTACTTTATCAGTGTGCACTGATGGGAATTTTATACCCATATAATCTCAAAGAAACTGATGAAATCAAAGTGATATTCTTGATCAGTTGATACTCTGTTCACTTAGATTTCTCACTAACTCCATAGTGAGGAGTGGAATGGCCAGCATGACTGCAGCATTTATTGATATGCACACTCTGTATTCAAACCTAAGCCATTACCAGAAGCGCACTGAAACCTTGTAAAGCTTGAGCAGTGTGCCTCTATTTAATGGTGAAGGAATCAGTCTGCCTTTGCCACTCACATGTTTATTTAGTAAATGTTAGAATTAACAAAGATAAGTTCTCAAGAACTCCTTACACATAGAAGAACTTACAGTGGTGATTAACACTAGTTTTTTTTTTAATAACTGACTAGAAATGCAAGAAAGTAACCTGGTAGTTGGTGTTATTGCTTAAGCTCTTAGCTACAACAACTTTGTCTTTGTTGAACTTTATTAGTACTTTATGATTACAGATTATATGTTGAATAATATGAAGTTGAATCTGATTTTCTCACATCAGTATGCTCTAGTAAAGATATTAGGCTCTTTCCACATCCTAATGCATGATTTTCATGAAAATGTATGTAACTATATAGTCTCCTGTAAATGTTTTAGTACCTAAGTGTGCTATTGTGTAAAACTTCTTAATGTATTTGTATATTTCAGTGTTGTTTATACATCAGATTAGAAAGCACAATAAGTGAAGTCGCTCAGTCATGTCAGACTCTTTGAGACCCCATGGACTGACTGTAGCCTGCCAGGCTCCTCCATCCATGGGATTTTCCAGGCAAGAATACTGGAGTGGGTTGCCATTTTCTTCTCCAGGGGATCTTCCCAACCCAGGGATCAAACCTGGGTCTCCCTCACTGCAGGCAGACTCTTTACTATCTAAGCCAGCCCAATAAATTACACTAAAGTATGTTTGTTTTTAGATGCCTTCTCATAGTATATCATATATTGGTTTTTATATTCCTCATAATTCTCATCTGTCCTCAGTATAGGGAAACAGAAACTGAAGAATCACTGTTTATCATGATCATGGTTTTCAGAGTGGCTCCTTTGAGAAGATTTTGACTGGTATTTTGAGATTTTGTAGCTGTAGGACACACCCCCCCCCAGCTCAACCCTTTTCCTCCTTCCTTTCTTCCCTTTGGTCTTAGTCTTCCCAGCCTTCTTTGACCTCTGTCGTTATACTTGAGCCTGTAACATGCAAATGTTAGGAAAGCTGAGAAATCTAGGGAAGAGTCCAGACCAAGTCTGGCAGCCAAAAAGAAACAATATAGGAGGCTATGAAGAAACAAATTGATTGGCTTGAGTTCCTTTATGTGCAGCACTTGTGCCAGAAGTGGGAATCAGTTTCTCCAGTAACTTCTTGTATCTAAAATGTAATTTTTTTCACCAGAGTTTAATGTGGAACCTTGGTAGAAAGACCTCTGCTTATGTAATGTAATGATCTATAGCTAACTGTAGCATAGGAGTCAAATGTCTCTTAGTGGATAGCTAGAGAGAGGTGTTATTGTGTTCCATGGGAATGATTTGGTTATCTAATGAAGGAAGAAAGTAAATACTTAGTTACGTTGTACTACTTAGAAAGAATGGAGGGTAGAAAGTGACTTGTGGT